CGTAACAAGTTCTTCCTCCATTGAGATGCGCTCCCCGTCGATACACCCACGTGTCTATATCTGCCGTATAAATCTGCCTGCGTGGGTGTGCGAACGTGAGAAGGGCTTGTGTATATGGGTAAAATCCATTCATGGACGTAGGATGCGTCGTGCGCAATTGCGCTGGGAGCGCAGGTACGCGGAAAGGTAATGATGAGGCGTTTTATGATGCAGTAAAACGCGCCGCGATCGCAGTTAGCTTCGAAGGTTGTCGGACACGGTGGACGACGCATGCTGCGTTATTTTATCAATCACTTCAATAAATTAACGAAACCTCAATTCGCGTCAAATTATATCCTTCTTGAAGGTTTGGTGTTACACACTGCGCATTATATTCATTTCCTCTTACTTTGTTTTAATTAATGCGCTACTACTTCTGTTAAGTACGTTATCTTGCAGGCTCTTTATAGTTACTTCTGAAAATATAAATTTTATTCAGCCGAAAATTAATCTTTTATTGTTGCATTAAATTAATAGAATAATGTGTAAGGCGTACATTGTTGAGTGTAACAAGTTCTATTCAAATCTAGTCACTTTTCTTATTTTGTTCCACAATATTGCATCCGCCATTTTGAATGTCCAGATTTCAAGTTCAAATTTGAAATCAGCGCCTCAAAAACCCCTGTATACCAAGTTTCATCCAAATCGAATCACTTTTCGCATTTTGATGCGCCATATTGGATCTGTGATTTTGAATTTATGCAATATATTTGAATATATTGAAAAACCCCTGTATGCTAAGTTTCACAAAAATCGTTTGAAAGGAACTCATGAAATATTCAAAACAATTTCTGTAAATGTAATTATTGCCAACTTCTTTCCGAAAATACTACGCTGGAGACCGTGTTTACGATATTTACTACTTCACTACGTCATGCGTACGTATGTCCAGGAATTTACGTAGACACAACTCAATCTTTCATTCATAAGTATCTATTCAATAGTAAACTTTCAAGTGTTAAAACTCGACGTGGAGTCGTCCGATTCTATTCTAACAAAATACAAATTGAAGAGCGGAGATTCTACCATCTAATAGATAGTAGTTATTCATAATAATTTAGATTAATTGAAACTATAGCGCGATAAAAGTTCTCTTTTTACCTTCCTTCGTGGGAATTTATCTACTATTTAAAAACATACAGAAGGGAAATAATTTCTGCTCACAAGCTGTCAGGTTATATTTTCTTAAAATATTAATTTTAAGATAATTTTGTGTTTCGCATTAAAGTATATCTAAATTCGTAAGATGGAATAGTGTACAGCAGTCATCCTGAAAATCTTTGACACGTGCAATTTTTGACGCCAGGGTAAAGCTGCCACGATGGAAATAGGGAGAACCATCCCCCTACGAACGTACCGAAACGAACGAAGGACTTCCTGATCGTAGTATTACTCACCGCTTGATCTTTATCGGTGGGAACTATCGTAGATCTCCAATAGAATTGTTAGGGGTTCGGGCGATTTACACTGTCTAACTGGTAACTGATTGTATTGTTCCCCGCGTTAAACGGAGGCATATTCACTACTGTTACTGTTGTGTGTCCAACTCTCCAGGCCGCCCGTCGCACATTGTGTCGCTTATTGTTAGTGCACAAAATTCAAAAATTCGAAGTATCGAAATACTAATGAAAGAATCTAATTTTCAATATTATCAATAACTTCTACTTAATACACCAATTTGTCGTTACAATTAAAGCATGAAGTTTAAGAAAAAATGTATGGATTTTTAATCGACTGCGAAAAGGAGGAGATTACTCAATTCAACATGTATATTTTTTTTATTCAAATACATGCCAATGTCAGAATATGTATTTCTTTGATTTTATTTTTACAAGTTAATTTTAATATTATAGCACCTTTGAAATAAATACGTAATTTGAATAAATTAAAAATAATTTGTCTTAATCTTTTATATTATAAGTTACTTAACTTTAAATAGACTTAAAAAAAAGTATCGGAAAGTACCGCCGTGATCTTTAAATCTTGTAATCAATTATACAGGGTGTTCGGTAACTGATGGTACAAGTGAAAAAAGTGTGATTCTACATGAAAATATAAGTCAAAAATATAGAATACAAATTTTTCATGCCAGGCTTTGTTTTGAAGAAAATCAACTTTGAGTTTTCGCCAGGTGCGGCTGCACTTGATCATGTCTCGTTGTAACGAATCTCACTGTAGATCGTTGTTTCGATGGTTATTATCGCGGTTTAAGCTTGTTTTTATCGTAACAGGAAGATTAGGAACACGTAATGAAATAGAATGTCGAAGTAATCATAAAGTTTATTGTTACAGAAATTGCTGAAAATATTGCACATTCTGCCCAATACATACTTCTGGTCTTCCAATTAAATTTCTATGAACGGTTTCTAACGTATTCGATTGATGTAATGTATGAAAGGCTACAATAATCTTTTCTTTCAATTGCTCGTGTTAGAAACCAGTAAGTGAGGAAGAGGTGAGAATAACAGGCTGATAATGGGATGCAGCTTTTAAGGTGAAAACACTATAAAGGTTTATTGTAGTTATAAAAGTACAACGTGATATGGCGGTTACACACAAAAGCATCACAGAACAAGTGAAGACAGATGAAACAAATGACACATACATAATGCTTACTGTATGCATTGATACTCTCTCGACAACTCGCAACTTGTGATTTTGTTAGAAAACACAATTGATTTAATATGACTCCATAAATAAATGTCAAAGCGAAATTTCAAAGTCAATTTTCTTGAAAACAAAGCCTCGCATGAAAAATTTGTATTCTATATTTTCGACTTATTTTTTCATGTAGAATGATCCCATTTTCGCTTATACCACCAGTTACCGAACACCGTGTATAATCGCCATAGTTGATTATCACTTGTTCCCATTCAGCAAGCAAATTAAAATTGCTACCTGCAAGGAGTCTCTTTAAACGCGTGATTATTTGTCACCTGTAGCGGAAGTTATGTATGAATGAACCCAATAAATATCGTTTTTACGAAAATATCGTTTGTTACGAGCCGAGGGCTGTGAGGCTTGTTTCGGTCGCGCTGCCGAGGATAGTTGTCGTTTGGACAATTTTTGTTAATGTGGATGTGCGTCCGTGGACGCACCTACGTATGGCTAACGTAGGGTTGCCACTAGCAGGTTGGAAAGTTTTGTCGTGGACGCACCAACGTATGGCTAACGAAGGGTTGCCACTAAGGAGGTTGAATGTCATGGACGCACCTACGTATGGCTAACGAAGGGTTGCCACTAGGAGGCTGGCTGTCGTGGAGGCACCTACGTATGGCCAACGTAGGGTTGCCACTAGGATTGTTAGCTGGCCTCGTAGCTTCTATTATGCAATACACCTCGAGCGGTAAAGGTGTATTGCTGTGAGTCTCCTTAAGGGGTTAGTCGCAGTCAGGAAAATGGAAACGGACAGTTTCTTGTGTGTTTTTTTTAAAGATATTAAATAATAATTTTTCTGAATGAAATGTAAATATATTACAAAGTATGTCTTAAAGAACTATAAAAGAATTTTTGTTTTAAGAAAAGATTAATTCATTTCGTCATAACAGGCGATGGCATGGGTGGCCACTTGGTTTGCGGTGAGCAAGATTTCTTCAAACTGGTGCACCTGAAAACAAAACTAAAGGTAGATTTAGAAAATATATTAGACGAACGGGTCCCTGATCGAAGGATTTTTTATTTTCTTGTATAGTTTTTTTTTATCCTGTATTGAATCGCTCAATTTTAGTGAAAAAATTGAAAATCAACTTCAAATGTACGCCATCTTGTTTTAAATTAATTTTTCCAGAATCCTTCGTTCAGGGACCCGCTAGACTAATATATTTTCGAAATGTACCTTTGTTTTTGTTTTCAGGTAAACCAGTGTAGAGAAATCTTGCTCACCGCAAACCTACGTTTTGAAATCATCGTTTACGTCATCGGCTGTTATGACGATATAAATTAAACGTTTCTTAAAACAAAAAATGTTTTTTAGTTCTTTAAAATATGCTTTATAATATACTTAATTGTTACTTATGGAAATTATTATTTAATAACTAAAAAAAAATCACAACGAAATGTTGTTGTTCCTCTTCCTGACTGCGACTAACCCCTTAACTAAAGAATTCAAGGAATAGGTATTCTTTTCTAACTATTCAGAAAAAATAGTTAGATTTAATCTACTAAACTATGTATATATTAAAGGTTTGGTTAATGGACTATACAAGTGGTTTTTGTATATATCGTGGAAACTAATTCATCCTCTCAAGGTTACGCAGCGAGGTTGAAATGCGGGGATCACGTTTACAATTGAACAAGTATTTACCAAAACGTTTCAAGACTATGTTCGATGGGGATTCTACCTGATCTTGCGACGAGGTAACACGGTGTCTGCGTCTGGTACTCCTCGATTACTATAACCCGAACTTTACTTTACTTTACTTTACTTGAAAGGGATTCTTCCCGATCTTGCCTCGCAGGTTTAAGATATAGCGCGACGTAACTTCAACGTGTCCTCAAGAAATGAGTCCCAGAGATGCGAAACGCATCGGTTTATATACTCTAAATTCGGTTAAAAATCGGTAGTGGGAGTTGATTCTATGAATTCTATGCTGCTGTATGCGGAGATGCGTAGAGGCCCGTAGCTCCTATTTTTCCGTGGAAATCAGTCCCGCGATGCGCCCTAGTTTCTTAGTAAAAACTTTATCGAAGGGCCGCGGCCACACCCGCTCGAAAGGGCAAATGTCACGGAGGAGAGGTTTCATAGAAATTACGAAACAGAGTAAAGTCTCCGCACGTAACACGTTTCTCGGAGAGCTAAGAGGAATTAGATCTTGGAAAATGTACCAACTAGGTACCGAGCGTAGCATAAGCAGTTGCTGTAAACGCTGAGAAGATTGTTGCGTTTATATCAGAGCGATTGTTACAGACAGTCTGCAATCGGTCAACTTTCTCAACGTGTCCCTTTCGTTTGTGTGTTTCAGGCGAGGTGATTGGCCAGCGGTTCCTGGGAAACGAGAGCCACGTGGAGCACTTCAAGCTCCTGGAGCGCGCGACCACTTCCATCCTGATTGGCGCCAGGTAATTGTTACGTGATTCGATTCTTTCATGGGTGCCGGCGGCGCCGGGAGGGGTCACCAGATGGTCATCGACTAGATTCCAAGTCGTTCGATCACTGGGACCCGACTCCCAAGTTCCTGGCCGAGTCACTCCCTCGATTACGCAGCACGAGCCCGATGACGCGGTATCGCAATCGCCTATGAGGCTGCCTGCAGCCCCTTATGACGTGTCCTCTTTAATTTTACATGAGTCGTATTCCCTTGGATCGATCGAGGCAACCGCCGGGGTATTTGATATGGAATAAATTGGTTTCAATTACCGAGTCGAGCTACGGCCAAGGAAAAACGTCTCGCGGTCGTCACTGTTATCGCGATTATTGTTGCATTACCGTTTTATCGCGCTCTTTGCTTTCCTTTTAACTCGATTCCGCTTTTTTTCTGGCCCACGTAATAAAGATTGTTTCTTTTGTTCGTGGAAAATCGGATGACAGATTGATCGTAGGAACGCTGGTTTCTTTCACTTGCTTCATGAGGCAATATTATAAAATAATAACGATTCGCTTTAAAAAAAAAATCTGTTTGTTATTGTGAAATGTAATAGCGATATTGGAATCTGTTACGTATGATCACTTTTTAAAGGCATTATCTAAATTATCATACATAAATGATGTGGTTTTTTTTTTTGCTATCCAATGCAATGTGTCAAAGGCTTTTTAAATGCATATTACCATTAAGCTGTGAATGTTCACGCATATTCATATTTTTAATTGTAATGAATATAATTGAAGAATTGAGATATAAATGAAATTATGTCTTGTCTTCTAAACAGAGTAACATGTATTTTATTATAGATATTTTATATATTTTATCCATTGGCGCACATTCTTGTAAATTTTCCTATATTTTCACTTGTCATAAATGCATAAACATTCGCAGTATAATTATCACCAATGGTATGTACAAATACAAATTTTCTGTAAAATGTATCCTGAATAGAGCCACGTGAAGATAGATTTAAATAGCCAGTTAAAAAGCCTATGAGTCCTATCATGTTGCAGTTATTAGTAATATTTATTAGTAATTTTACAAAGAAACAAATCACTATACCTATAACAACATTTTAAAAGTAATTTATGATAATCACTATACAAGTACACTTTTTATGTATGTAGCGTAGTATTAATATTAAAAAATAGTAAGAAACATATCGTAAATTTATAACGCGATGCATTTTTTAAAAAGCTCTGATGTAATATATGATGTAATATATTTCAAAAATGAAATTTTACCCTTTAAATCAGCATTAAGTATTGCAACGGCTTCAATCCACGACGAGCACGTAAACTAGTGGTGTCACTATAGCGTGACCTTGTTATCCTATGGTGTCATTAATTCAGTTGCTCCCGTGTGCTAAAACGGATAACGATGTCCAGCTCTGCTCTAGATAACAATTCATCCTTCATCCGAGTTTTTTACCGTAATTCCACACAAAATGAGCTTTCAAGTATTTTATTACAGATTGCAAACTTTTAAAATCGATCGAAGTACACGTAAATTTTTATTTGTTAATTTTTGTGTTATTCATTTATGAGAAAAATTATTGACATTAGAGGATCTAACTTTTTACACACTGACCTTATGTATTATATTATCGAATTATTGTAATTTTTATTTTATCAATAGCTTTTTTGGAGACCATTAAAGATACAGAACTTGGATAATTCATTTTATTTTAAATGACAGTAAAGTATGTAATAACCATGGATTTCATAGTGTAGTGACGTTTTTGGTTCAAGGTGGTTATAAAATAAATTAAAATTGGTTATTGTAACTTGAAAATTTATTAAATGTGTAAAGTATGTATATGTAATAGGAGCATTCTTTTGTGAGTGACTGTAACTATCAATGACCTTTAGTCAGACATGATACTTTACCAATAGAACCGTTACTTGCATTACTAGATTTGAGTGTTTCCTACGATTTTGTAGATGCTTAAAATTCTATGCATTTCTAAGATTATTCTATTTTGTTTCCTAAATAACATGTACAAATATAGGAACAGCTAATGACCGTCTGAGAAACATATTTAGAATGAATACTCTATACCGCATCGGGTCCATCAGATAGAAATCATTTGTCCATATAAAACGCGTGACAGTTAAAAGAAAATGTAAACCTATCAAGTGAAAGAAAAATCGTAAATTCTAAATGGTTGCACCGAGGAAACACGAATAGATTCCGGTCGGCTGTGGTTTATGTTTTCGAATTTCACTCGCGACGCGTTTCATTCTGATAGTGGATCGTATTTCGCACCTTTGAATGCTTTCCTGACGCTTTTCTCACGACATGTTTCACTGTAGAAGTAGAAGTGTATAGTCGGGCTCTTTAAACAGCACCCCGTAACAAGAAACGAAATACAGATCGAATTCGCTGAGAATGGATCAGGTATCGAATTGCAGCCACCGTGCAATTACAGTTCTTTCGTCGCGCGATTCAATTAAATTTCAGCGTCCCCATGCCAACCGATTGCCTCTCAGCATCTTAAATCTCCCACTCGATTTCTAATATCTTTCCCCTCCTCGATAATGGATTTTAAACTTTTCAATTTTATGTTTAAACTGTTTAAAAGTTCAATTTAAGATTGTATTTATTTCGATAAGAGGTATAGTTAAAGAGAAATTCAAATACGATGTCCAACTTTGTTGGTTATTCGAACAAACAATTACTAACAATGCTGGAATAATTCTTTCGACATATTGGTGGAAGGAAATTTGCTCTGGAAAAACATGAATGTTTGTAGAAAAACTACACAACATAAGTAATAAATACATAAACATGAAATTTACGGACCGTAATCTACAGATTAATTTAATTAAAAGTTCATATTTGAATGATATTTGTTGTGAATAAAAATACTCGCATATTGTGAAGAATTTTTTAATTATTATTAGTGGGGAATCTTGTTTAGTAAACATCTCCTTGTGATATATCTGACATTAATTGTACTAATTCGGTATGTGAATTATGGTGGTATAATTCATTTCACGTATGACGTTCATGGACCTTGAATTGTATGTCATACATCCTAACTATGTTTTTCTTTATGTTCTCTCTATTTATAACTTTTGTTGTTGAAGTGTCAAGAAGTTGTGTAAACTGTAACGTCTGCAGCATTCATTTAAATTTTAAAACGGTTATGGTTGAAATTAAAAGTTTAAAAACGAAAGATATAAAACGAAATATTCTTTTTATCAATCAGTAATATTAGAAGTGAAAGACTGCCTATTTCAAACGCGTGTCTGGAGTGCAAAAGAGAAAAGCTACTAATTCGTTTATTGAAGATAAAGAAGTTTTGAAGTAATGAAAGTAGAGAAAATCTAAAACAGATAATAAAATAGAGAGAAAAATCCTGTCCATTTTTATTAGGATTTCAATGTGCTTTCTTGTAACAAATATTCAATCTTCTTTTACAAGTTCTTTTTTTTGGCCACAGTATGTGGGAAACTTTGTGTCCAAAGTTGTTGAATCTATAGTCGTAGAGTGTCGCGTGGTTAACTAAGTAGACCACGATTAGTAGTTATTACTACGTCGGATAATTGCTCGGTTAACCGATATAACACTAATAGCGAGCTCAACCGTTTGGCCAGTTAATTATCGTGAACCAAAGTTTGAAACACCGTGTAAGTGCCGAGGAAGTTTGAAGAGAAATTGTGTGTTCATGTGTTCGTGAATGGTTTCATTAAATCAAATTGGTTCTAACTTTCTAATAGAAACTTTTTTTAACAATCTTTTCGCGGTTACTGTATAGGTGCAAGATAAGGTAAACGTCTTGGAAATCACTTTGTATATTAATTGAATCGAACGATAAACAAATGGTAATAGAAAATTTTGGAAAAATCTGATTTATAATTTTAGAAAAAATTCCCAATCATGTACAAATTATTTGAATTGCAACGTTACGTTGTAAGTTAGTTTAATTTTATACTTGGCGTAAGTTGTACAATGTTGTTTATATATCACTCAATTTGATGACTTTGAATTCATTGAAATTTGAATTTGAATTTTATAGAAATATGTTTTATTGACTCTAAAACAGACTTATAGAAACATTAATATATAGAGTGATTTGAAAGTCTTAACAATACTTTTTCTTGACAAGTTTCATAAATTATGTCCTCACAATTACAGAGAATTTTTGGGATCATTGAAAATAATGATTACAATGCTGTAAAACTCAGCAGATCTCAAGTATCCGGTTTCCTAAAAGAAAATACCTTGTTAATTTTTGAAACCGTTAAATAATCACATTGAATGGGTTTGAAAATGAATTGAAAGTGATAATGACTGCATTAGTGTCGAAATTAGGTGTACTTATCTTACATTCACACGTTTTCATAGTGAAAACCTAGAGTTTCCCAATGAGATTTAAATACAGATTCCCATTATATTGTGGCTCGCAACAGTTGTATGGGAAATTTGATTACTACGTCTGGTTATCAAACCATCGCCCATGGTGGTGAGAATTGTAATTGTATGCAATGAATTTCCTTTCTCATGAAAAGTACCTGCAACCTATCGCATGAAATCTTGACTGTGACATTATCATCGTCGTGTATCACAGCTAAAATCTTCTCATAAATATCAGATTAGCGAAAAACAATTATTAATGTGTGACGGAGAAATGATTGTGACAATTTGCTCAACAACATTACTGGTTAGGCGATTAGGCTGATCATACGAAATCGATAAAAATGAGCAACAATAACAAAAATAATTGTTATTTTTAAAACAATCTTCTTGTAAGATCTTACACGCAAAATACCAATTTTTTGACGAATCATTACCCTAAGACTTCTATGTCTGGAAAAGAAGTTATAACAGCATGAACTAACTATTCAAAAACCTGAGCAAATTAAACATAAATTATTGGAGACTAGGAGAGGTGAATAAAAATTTCGTGTTAATTTTGAACTGAATAAATATTAAACTGATTTGCTAATATTTTTTTGGAGCAAACCCTGATGTGATAAATGGTAACAGAATTTTGTTTACATATGAGTTAATTGAATACAGTAATATCGTTTTCAATGGTATAAATCCTTACACGAGAAATCACTTATTTTATTGAAGTGCTACTGTACATAAAAAAAATGGTACGCTCAGAAAAAGTGAAATGATCTAACAAAGTAGAAAAATTGAGCAAGATTAAACAAAAATTATTTTTTGTAAAAAATAAGGTTATACTTATTTCTTCGTAATTTTAATTGAACTGAACGTAACTGAATATTTAAATAATTTTGAAACTTATTTACCAATATTTTCTTGGAGAAAGCCTTGATGTGAAAAATAGACAGTTTTCCTTACTTATATGTAAGTAAAATACAACCAATAACGTGTAATTACATGGAATGGATTACTTTCTTACTAATTCTTTAAATCAATGCAGCACCAATTCAAGCAGTGTATCAGCCGTTTTATTCGTAAATATCATACAATGGTTGCTGTGGGAAAATAAAGTCATGAAATTCATATTAAAATAACAACATGGTCAAAATTGATAATACCTAAACAACAGACGGTTTGGTCTGGCAATTAACACAAATGCATTGTTTATTGTTCCGCGATATCCTGTTAGTTGATTAATCTCTTTGTATTTGGTTCCATTTGCTTAAAAAAGTAGATCTGAATAATAGGTAATCAACTTTTCATTTTTTTTATCAAACGACAGTACGTTGCTCTCGAGTTTTGTACAACAATTATCTTCACGTATTTTATGTATTTAATTAATTTTCGAGTTAGAATAACTAATTGTACTTTAATTCACTATAAATCTTAATTAATATAACTTAAATGACAAACTGTTCGATCAAAACATTGGGATTTCCATAACGATTGCAGTTTAACTAAAATTTGATTATCGCTCTCGTGATTAAGGAGAACACGGAGTCTATCATAAATGAATCAAAACAAAACTTTATCCTCGTACAATATCTCTACAATGAAAAGGAATCATGCACAGAAACTTGTATTTTATAAGAATTTAGAATAATGCGATATTCAGTTATACATTATATTTGTATATAAAATTCCTTTATAGAGTTATGTTTCAGTATGAATTTGTATATCTTGCGGAGGGTAAACAAATAGCAAAATCATTAAACAATAAATCGAATTTGTATTGTTATCAAGGAATACACATCGTATAGACATTTTGTCTTCGATATTTACTAAGCCAAACAAACAAAATCAAATTTCACTTTTTAAAATTGTCACTTCTACTAAAGTTTACTATTATAACCAACGTTACTGTACGTTCACTTTCCATTGGATAAATAAATTCAGAACAAATAGTTTTGTGTGATCTACAGAGTGTTTTATAAACTAAAACACTAAATGTTTCTGTCACTATTACATAGTTTGCTCTTAAATGAAAAATGTATTATTTCCTTGTTACATACATACAAAATAAACCGGTAACTTTAGTAAAAGCAATAAGTTTATTAAGCTTGTCAGAGTATGATGTATAGTTATTATTCTGCAGTAATTAATTTAAACTTCCAAGTTTGTATACACCGTTTAAATCGTCTTCAATAGTTGTTTGAAATCAATTCATTATCCAATATAATATATATTCTACTAAAAAATATAATAATTTAGAGAAAAAAATGAGTTCCGTTTCATTCAATAATTTCTAACTATCCCTAGAGCATGTGTCTATGGTTCATCGATTTCCTGTTTTCCTAAGAAGGCTATTTATAGAATTTTTTTGAAGTTTTTTATTTTTAGTCGACTATAGGAATTACAGTTAGTGAGACGAGTTGGTTATTTCACGGTTGATTGGATCACGGAAGAATACCGACGTACTGCTTTGTCAGGATTAAATGAAGTAATTGCAGCGGAGTGCGCATAAACGAAGTTTCCAAGTTATGCTACGTGCGACGTATTAAAGCCGATATATCGAGTGTAGCTAACTTAATACCGAACTTAATCAATTTAGCGTAGAATTTATTATCGAACGTGTAGCACTCACACGTCCTTGATTGAAAATTCAAAACTAAGAAACGTATCTTTTTCAGCTGACATCCATCAAATCTCAAAAACTTTGATCTAACTATTTCGATCGTCTTTTAATTTTTATAAATTATTCCTTAATAAATTATTTATAATATAACGTGGAATTGTCGTTAAATATCGCAATATACTCATGACGTAGAAATGTTAGTCTTGTTTTCCCGACGCAAATGCCATTTGTTTAACTTTATCGCGCGTGGCTGAACACAATTACTTGGCAATTCTAGCCTCAGGAATTATTTTGACATTCCAAGAGGAAAATGCTAATGAATTCCAGGTTTACAGTGGAATTTCTCAAGTTTTCTTCCAGTGGTACCAATCTCGAAAGCTAAGAAAGGGACAGATCCGTAGAGAAGGTGAACAGCAAAGGTTAATCGAAGCAAATCCACGTCAGACTGCCTGAAAATTCGCGAGAAAGCTTGACCTAAGATGATAGTTCTCAGACGCTCGAGGGAAATTGGTAGCTTTGACAATCTCGAAACGTGTGTTGTTTCTATGTCTAATGGGAATCAGGGATTACCTGATTGGGTATTACTGCAAAATTAACGAAACAAAATATACAGGACAGACCATTTAAGGCAAGTTATCTGGATAATACGTTTATTGCTAAAGAGAGAAAATAATGTTAGACACAGAACAAATTTCTAGAATTAAACAATAAATCCACAAGTTACAACGAAATATGTAACTATGGATCTAAAACTAATCAAGGTGTAGAATTTTCCGCCAAAACTTATAATGAGGTCATCAAATAAGAGATATTTATATTCGAATGATACATATAGAATTCCTTCGAAGGGTGGTTTCTACCCTTAAAACCGCTTTTCTATGAAATTGGAGAAGAGCTCTGTTATTAGGTTCTCATGAACTTTGTTTCTGCAAAATTTCAAATTTTCGGCGTGTACCAATTGCTGAACTTTTCTTTTGTGAGCTGACATACACAACTGGTATTTTACCCTATGGCATACGATATATTCTTCAGATTTATTTGCTATGATTCATCACTTTTCCTATTACTTAAGGAATAGTAAAGGGAAAACTTTCTTCATCGAAATAGTACAAGAGACCCTGTTGCCTGGGAAAGATTACACTTTTGTAAATTGGATTGAGCCTGTGCTGCGTGCATGACGCATTAGGAGTCGCGTCATGCGCCAAAGTTCACAGAAGGCCATGAGTCGAGGGATCACATTTGGGGAGTCTACACGTATCAACGAGAACTAGGATCAATATCCATTCTGATGTCAGTCCTTTTCACGGTAATCTTTTCAGATGAATCGAAGAACTGCCTGTCACGAGCAAGCGTTCAATTTATATAAAGGTGTCAACCTCTGTTTCTCTTCATGAATTTGCAAAATTGTCTCGAGCTCTTGAATGTTCCAACACTAAAACTACCAAGCCGATCAGTTTGGCTCATGTACTTTAAAAATGACTTCATGTACTTCTCTCTAGAATTATTCTCTAAAATTATTATATAATGTAATTATTACAATTCTTGTAATAAAGAAATAATTTTATTGTTAAAATAATGTGAGGATGGACAAGTCGGAGACGAAGGAAACCACAATTATTCAGTTAAAGAGTTTATTAAACTGTATGGCTGCATGCTCAGCTTGCATGAATGGCAATAATATTGCAATAAGTATGAATAATATATTAAATTTATATTTCCTTTATATTAAATTATGTTAAATAACCTTTTCGTAGTCGGCGCAAATTGAAAAATTACTTACATTCAAAGTTACCAAATTTGGTTTAACTTTCTGTCGGTGGGACAAAACTTATGCCCTTAAATTATTGCTATGATCAATCTACTTTAGACATCATATACATTAACATTATTCAATATCGCCACCTCCATCAAATACTATCCCAACCTACTCAGACATTATCTTCATAGAGAGAATTACGCTAATATACATTAGCAGTAACCAATATTTTCACCCCAGGCCCCGCAAAAAAGAATACCCCAAGCCTACTCAGACAGTAGTTTTGTGTAGATAGTATACACATCATCTGTATGCAATATTGTCCCCCGCATCGGCACAACAAATACATCAAACTCTCTCAGACAGTATTTCCACGTAGACAGTATACATGTATACATTAACAGTATTCAATATTGCCACCTTCACCAAGAACTAACTCAAGCAGAACTTAAAAATGTTTAATTTTGCGCCGACTAGGAAAAGATTATTTAATATAAATTAATATAAAGGAAATAGAAATTTAATATATTATTAAATATCATTTAATATAAATTAAATAAATATTATTTCATACTTTTTAGTGCAATTTTAATATTTTTTCGAAGTCGGTTATACTTTTTTTCCAAACATTATTTTATTATTCTCCATTAACGGGAAGCGTTGTTTCATAAGCCCTGTCACGTTTACCGTAATTACTAATGGTTATCCGGCCTTCCGTTCAGATTGTTCGGAAGGCGGGATGCGGAAAGATTGCGAGAAGGATTTACGAGGCAAGACTTAACGTGCTCGTTTTGTTTTTTTTTTTCTAGGAACGCCATTTACAACATAAGTCTGCACGACCTAGCGGAGATCGTCGATCAGGTGAGTGTAAACGCTGAAAATCTTGTACCAGCCTATCTGAAAGCTTCGAATCTGCAGTGGCAGTGGTATTTTAAAGCCACGCACGGTTATCTGAAATCGGGAAAATTCCACCGCGAGACAATTCCGATTTTATCTCGGGAAACGTAGCAAGTGTTTTTAATGCCATGGAAGAAATACGATAGTCGTCGTCACGATACAACGTATACAGGGAGGTTAACGTTTGTTGGGAATAATATTTATTTTACCATGTGTCATTTTTAACGTTGCTGATGAAATTGTACGAGCTTTAAATCGTGGCAATGCGTTTAATTTGATGCTTTGAAAAGGGATGACATACGGAACAGTCTTTCAAACAGAGATGCATTTGTGTGAATGTTGTTCTTATTTTTGAATAAATTGGAGCAAATATGATGAGTCATATGTAGGTAAAAATTGGCTGGAACGTTAGGTACAAGTTTGTGTTTTGAAGAAACATATATTTAATTCTATTTATATCGTATATAAACTTACAATTTACACGTTTATGACATGTACGGGTAAACTTATATTTAACATATTTAAGTTTCTTTTTAAACTTGTATTTAATTAAAACAACAACTTTCACGAAACATTCTGATTTTGAAAATATCAAAAGATAACAAAGAAACATTATAGATTGAACATTTATTTGAATAGACTGATAAACGGAAATAACTGAAAAATAAACGGAACCTAGCCAATTTAACTAAGTACTTATCTCAGAAACTATGTAAGTAGTACTTATCTTCACAATTTTCTAACTAGCGTTATGGATTTTTCCTCTCATCACGCTTTAAAACACATGAAATTACATATGCAATAGCACATTATCAGCGATACAAAAGCAACGAATTAAACGAGCTCATCATATGCAAACGAATTGTTTCGTTTCACCCGCTTCGAAAAGAGAATATAGTCGTAATTAAATACGGGATGACCTGATACAATTCTCATTTTGTACTGTTGTGCGACAAGCGTCGATTTAAAAGTTTTGTTTTGCCAGCGACTGATCGAAGGCACCAATGACACAAAAAAGTTTGGAAAAGAAGGTGTTAGTTTTATCGATAGAACCGGCTGGATGAAAGCCTGAATGGATTTACATGGTAATAGGTATTTTTTCGAGCTCTGCGTATAATCCACGCTATCCGGGCTCTCATCGCAAACACTGAGGGATTATCGATCGACTTTTGCGACCGAGCACGATTCTTGAACTCTGAAAGTGCCCGATTGCTCGACAATTGATCTGTTGAAAATTTCACTCCCCTTTCAGGCTGAGTTTCTATTGCTCATTCTCCACGTTTCACTCGTTCGATCGATCGAAAGGGTTCGAGGAAATAGACTCGTTCCTCTTAATACCTACTGCAGGCACGTTCGTTTGGCATAGATAGCGATTGCCTCGATGTCTGTTTTGATAACATGCCTTTGCGTTTGAAATTGATATTTTGGCGTCGATTCGTTTCCAGGCGTGTTTGCCAAATATCCGGTACTTGATGATACCCATAACTCTGGTGTCTTTGATTACTAGTTGTTTTGTTTCTTCTTCGACACCTTTTTCGTTAGAATGCAAATAATCGATCACTAGTTACGTTTGGTTATATGAAATTGTCATTGTCCTTATCAGTGTATCATTTGATCTCTAAAGAAGTTGTTTTGTTCCTTCTTCGACACCTTTTTCGTTAGAATGCAAATAATCGATCTCTAGTTACGTTTGGTTATATGAAATTGTCATTGTCCTTATCAGTGTATCATTTGATTATAGTATTACTAAGTAATAGTAACTAAACTAAAAAATAGTAATTGCTAGTATTACTAATGGTATATCGACGAATCGATTTGCTTTTTTCTCATTTAATTAAAACGATGTTATAATATTTATGCGAATTGTAGAATGTATCGAAACGTTTATTTTTATTCGCATGCAATAGTGGTCAAAAAATATGTTAAACAAAGTAAGTATCTATATTTAAAATTAACTTTTTAAATATATTTATCGACGTGTCGATATTTTCAAATTCTTTTTAGGAAACATACTTGAAATTTCGATCTCTACTTTCGATACTTGATTACAAAATTCTTGTTTTGCTATTAGAAGCATATCGTGCATTGATTTGCTTAATGAAGGTAACCAGAAAGAAATGTTATTTATGATAGAAAAACATGTATCAAAGTAAATTTTGTTTTACTGTAAATTATTTTATGTGACTAATAACTGTTTAGATTAAGAAGGATTATGTTCCCTACTACATTTTTAATTTAGTCGTATATTTATTCATCTAATACAAAATTTACGCTTGACAGTCCTTTTTTTACAATTGTGATAATCTTTTCATATCCAAGATTATCAAATTTTCATTTAAGTATCTTAACGTTCTGAATTTTCAAATTAATTCGTTCATTAATCGATTTAATTTCTCCCCTTTTGCTTTTAACGTCCTTTTATATGTAAAATGATACAGTATATACATATAATATATAGTCTATATAGAATATATATAAATAATTTGGTATATTGTATCATGCCAACTACAGCTGCAGGTACTTTTCTAAATTCAAGAAAAAAATACCTATAAATACAAGAAAACGTACATCATTTGGACCAAGACTTCAAGAACACGTATGCATTACATAACTGTTCATTATTCATATCTATATAATTATCAAGAATCTATATTTAATGTTTTGCACGGTGCAACGGAGAATTATCTCGTATCATCCCATAAAAACACGTTACATAGAAGTAGAATAGGGTGGATATATGAAAGTTGCAAGAATTTTCAACAAATCAAGTTACAACATATCATTTGCTAGAATAGTCTCAAGACCTAAATTTTAACTTTATCAGAAATATTGCATCTTGCGATCATCAAATATAATACGCAGTCGTTTATGAATTTTTAAATTTAACCTAACGAAATAAACTGTTCGTTCATTTAAAATCAATTTCTGTTGATACGCGACGACGAGTTTGTTGAGAATTTGTCCCAGGTGTTTCCAAAACGATAAAGGTATGCTGACTCCGAATAGGTTGACGCTCGTCAGCAGAATCTTCACGGATACGTCATGGAATTGGTCCTATCGGCAGACAGGTCTGCAGGAAGTCAAAATCACAAACTCGATATTGATCCTGTCGGAAACGACACGAGTCGCGAAACTGTGCTCGACGAAACTGGCTCGTGAGTGAAATCGATGGAAAGGGCGAGGATCGCGATAGAAGGCGTGAGTGAAGATAAAGTTAGGCGGAAGGGGAGTGGGAAAGAAGATCTTGGCTGCCAAGAGACGTGACGCAGCGCTGAGGCTGGAGATCGATCGGAGACGGGTTTCTCCAAGCCATAAAGTACTGTCGCTTAGAATAGAATACTAAAAGTCCCCTCGTCGACTTTATGACACTTTCCTCAGTACGGAGTTAGAGTTTGGTACATCGATATCGATGCCGAAAAAAGCTGACATCGTTGTTGCAGAACTTCCTCGGTATTAGTTTAAGAAGTATCGAAATTTCTCGTTGCTGATGTAAAAACTTATATCTTAAAATTTGTAGACAAGGGACTTATCTACTGTCTAATTAAAATTGAATGGCATCAATGTCTTTTATCTTTTTGGGGCACGGTGAGATTAAAAGTGTCCCACCTTTTTGATGGACCGTAATGCACGGTGGGACATTTTTAATCCCACCTCGAAATTTTGCAATAGTTGCATGCGTATAGGTTTATATTTCGTCTTATTTACGTAAAGCAGTTGGTAATATATTCATCCGATGTTACAAATGTATGCACTTATGTTGGCAACTTTCAACATGCTAATACCGGTTCAACAATTGTTGTAAGCGGAAGGTTTATTGCGATAATAATTCTTTCCTGGTTTTATGTGAAAAATCGTAGAGGTAAGTTAATTTATATAAAAATTAGTTCTATACAAGCAAGTGAAGTGTTTTATAATAAAAACTAAAGATTAAATTTGTTTGCAAATGATAAAAGTATGGTGGGATTTTATTCGTCCTACCATGCAACTTGGGGAGTAATCCAAAAAAACATATTTTTATTTATTGTTTATGTTTTAATATTCTTAAAACTATAAATGTGATTTGAATATAGTGTAGGTAATTTTTGTATTTTGTTACATTATGTGATACGTTTATTAATAAAAATATAACAATTTTGTTTGATTTAAAACGCAATAAAATTCCGGTGCAAGATGGGTCTATTTTATGACCTGAATTCCTGTGGCGCAAAGAGATATACAGATACTAACATTTCAAATTTTATAGCTTTTTACATACAGTTAGACAGGGTGGGACAGCTAAATTGTTACGGAGCGATAATGCCTAAACTATCGTAGATACAAAAAAATCTTATAGGAAAAAGTTAGAAAGTTCGAGGGGGGCTATTTTATATGACTATTGCTTTTTTTTTGCTGAGGGTGTATCAAGATCATCGGCATTTTTTTCAACGAAACCATGGATTTTATTTACACATTAAGGAAAGCTGACGTTTAAACGAATCCATCGATCTATAGTACAAGGTCATTCAAGGTGAAATCTATCAATGCATAACCTTGAATGACCATGTATTAATGGTCCATGGATTCGTCTCAACGTCAGCTTTCATAATGTGTAGACAACAGCTCAAGATTCCATTTGAAAAAACGGCGGTACGCCTGATACAGCCTCAGCATCTGTACCAAAAGAATCAATAGTCATATAAGATAGGCCCCCTCGAACCTTCTTGTGGGGTTTTTTTATATCCACGATAGTTTACGCATTATCCCTCTGTAACAGTTTAGCTGCCTAATCCTGTACATAAACACATTCGTAAACACATTTAGGTATACAGAATTTATTTAAGAATTTAATGGTGCTAACGCTCTATATGTACTTAGATCTCAGGACATCCAGTTTCATGATTTTCTGATACATAACTTTAGAGACATAAAGAAAAGAACAGGCCGTCATACATACATATACATATCCATACCTAGAGAATTTTGTC